GGTAGTAAGTCACTTTTTTCAGCGCTGTTGTAACTTTGAATGAATCACTAAACCAATGATAATAAGTAAAAGACCCCTCCTAAAAAATAGTTGTACTTAGCATCAGTTAAGCTACTGAAACCAAGTATCCTCCTCCATTTCTCAAAATTACATCTCAGTTGCAGAAAAAAAAAAAATACAAACAGTCTGGTGACAGTATCAGACGTGAAATGCTGGCGAATCAGATTCTAGCTGAGCACATTTGGCTTCATTCATTTCTACCAGACTTTGCACTGTGTAGTCTAAAAAGATTAAAATAAGCATAAGAAGAAAGGAAATCCGATCACTTTTTTTCATTGATGATGTTTCACTTAAAAGTATGAGTGGTGAAAGTGACATAATGGAACAAAGTTTTTAATTACCCTTTGGGGGGGGGGGTTTAGAATGAAACTACACCAGCATGTATTTGACTCAAAAGATAGGAAACCTGCAGGACAAGGCATTTGTCAGAGAGAATTTGCTATTTTGCTAGCTTAACTTTTCCCGACTTAGAGCTCTCTGGGTATTCCTAAAATTATTATTAACAATAACAATAATAAAGTTGGAAGGGACCTTGGAGGTCATCTAATCCAACCCCCTGCTCAGGGAGGAAACCCTGTACCATTTCAGACAAATGGCTGTCCAGTCTCTTCTTAAAAACTTCCAGTGTTGAAGCATTTACAACTTTTGGAGGCAGGTTGTTCCACTGATTATTTGTTCTAACTGTCAGTAAGTTTCTCCTTCATTCTAGGTTGCTTCTCTCTTTGATTAGATCCCATCCATTGCTTCTTGTCCTGCCTTCTTGTGCTTTGGAGAATAGCTCGACTCCCTCTTCTTTGTGGTAGCCCCTGAGATATTGGAACGCTGCTATCATGGTTATCCCTCATTCTTCTCTTCATTAAACTAGACATACCCAATTCCAGCAACCATTCCTTATATGTTTCAGCCTCCAGTCCCATAATCATCTTTGTTGCTCTTCTCTGTACTCTTTCTAGAGTCTCAACATCTTTTTTACATCGTGGTGACCAAAACTGAATGCAGTATTCCAAGTGTGGCCTTACCAAGGCATTGTAAAGTGGTATTAACACTTCACATGATCTTGATTCTATCCCTCTGTTAATGCAGCCTAGCATTAATGATCTGGCTAATTAGGAATAATCTCTGGGAGCAGGGCCTTTGGGGCTGGGGGACAGTAGAGCCAAATTGAAATGATCAGGTGAAATACTTGTAATTCAAGGCAGTAAAATTAATCAACTAAGATTAGTTCATTATGATTTCTCAGTAGGCTCCTGTTTACTGAACCTTTACCTTCAGTGAACAAAAATATGATGAAGGAAAGCAAAATCCATTGATACAGAATACGATGAGAAGAAAGTGGAAGGGGGGTGCAGTCAAATGAACCTTATACTCCAAGGCAAACCTGGGCATTTTATGGCCAGTGGGTCACATCCTGCCTGCAGGCTGTCCCTGTCCAGCCCATGCTGTCCCATGCTGTTGGAGTGGTGAGAGGTGTAAGCAGCATTGGAGATGGAGTGGAGGCATCCAGGGGTGGGACAGCATTAGCATCAAGGTGGGGTGGCGTTGCCCTTCACATCAGACCTAGTTTTTCATATGGCCCCTTGGGAAAATTAATTGCCCATCCCTGTTTTAGGGCCTCTCAAGGTCGATGCTGACGCCTAGATCTTCTAGATTGTCTATGATTGCTTGAAATTAATCCATTATTTACCTTGCATTTGAATCTGTGATTTTTCCATTCCCTAACAAACATTGCAGTCCTCAGAGGTTCTTGACCCTCAGCCATATACAGACATATTGATTGATTGATTTTTTTTGCACAAAGAAAGTACTCTGGGTTCTGAATTTCTGCCTTCCACAAAGCAATTCAAGAGACATAAATGCTTATATAAAAGTTCTGAATGCTTTACAATATAATACTGATTACATTTCTGATTGAATAAAATTGATCCATTTTCAGATTTTTTTTGAAGGTGCAGCCCAGCTTAAGAGTGCATGTGAGTTGATAACTGCAAAGAAGGAAGATGTTCTTAAAGACCAAACTATGACGTATCTTCTATTCTAATTATGTTAGAAGCGAGATGAGAAAACACTTTTACATAAAACATCAATACGTAGAGACATCTGGTAAAGCCCCTTGTGAACTAATCCATTTTCAGAAGTAGGAACAGATTCTGAATATTGCATGTGTAACAATAAAATTTCAATGGCAATGGCAAACACAAGGAAAAGAGCACATTGGGATGTAGATTTTGCTCACTCTTCTATATGATGAGCCATCTTTTCATACAGAGTACACTGAAAGATGCAAAATAAAATGCCAGAATTGTAAATTGATGTCTATTCTGTTAGATACTCTTTACAAACTTTCTTCTCTCCTCTTTCTCTTCTTTTTTTTCCTTTTCTTTGCTTTTCACATTTTATCATGACTTAGCTCACACTGCCATCTAGAGGTTTTAAAAACAAAAAATCCCCATCTAAAAACAGCATAGCTGTTGTAACATATGAATAGGATGAAATGCATTTGAAATGCATTTGTTACACATGTTGGATCACAGTCACCAGAAGAGAAGTTTCAAAATTGACAAGACATCTATTTAAACAAGTGAAGGTACCAAATCTTTTATAAAACAAAACCCCTGGAGGAGTTTTGCCATTGCTATGGTTTTTGGTCTTTTCTGATGTAGATGGAATGGCTGTGCAAATCTTTCAAAACTATTTGTCTTCAACATTTGGAATAATAGAATAGAATAGAATAGAATAGAATAGAATAGAATAGAATAGAATAGAATAGAATAGAATTATTCTTTATTGGCCAAAGTGGGAATAGACACACAAGGAATTTGTCTCTGGTGCATAAGCTCTCAATGTACATACAAGCAACAAGTGATAAATCATGATCATAATCATAAAACACATTCATCATAAATCATAAGATACAATCAACAAATTTTAGTCATAAGATATCAATAGGAGTAGGTAATAGGAAAGATGAGAAGGATAATATGAAATACCTCTCTTTGAATAATTAAAACAGCAACATCTTTTTCTAAACTCAGGCAGCAATTTCCAGATGCCTCTATGTACATGTTCATGTACAACCACTTCACTTCACTGGAAAAAAAATACTTAAATGTTGGAGAGAGGTAGTCTTTTTATAGGAATTTTCTTTATTAGACCAGTATGGCATTTGTCAGCCGACTGTTGTTTTTGTTGTTGTAGCTATCTCTCTTGAATGGTAAGATTTCATAAACTGCAACTGAGAGAGGATCATTGGCTTGTGAGTTTGGCAATTTTAAGCCATGTACCTTAGATGCACTGAAGATAGTATTTGTTTGTTTGTCTTATTCCTTCAATTATAAACAGTGTCTGTAGCAACTAATATATAAAATAAAGGAAGGTCTGGAAGTGAGCAAATAATTGTTATTGTTTGGTGGTAAGATACTCCTCCATATTTTTTAAGCAGCTAGTAGAAATCTCTGCATCTTACTTTGGATTCTTTTGAAGTACATGTAACCTACACCCTGAGTCCAGGGATGGAACACAGAATACTAAGGTGTTCTGGAACAAATGGCATCTAAGTTAAACTCAAGCTTTAAGGACACTGGCAATGAACCAACCTATGGAATTCTGATCCAGTTACAAAGAACAATAACCTTATAACAGATTGCTGCAAGAATCTATGTGGACTCTCTGTCTTTCAGCTATTAGCAGTGCTCAAACAGGATTACGCTACCAAAAAATGTATTGCTTCAAGAAATCCATATAGAATCTCCTCTCTTCAGTTAGGGAACAATCAACTGAGAAAGAAGAACAGCACAAGTAGGTGGCAATCAAAGTTCACAAAATGGTCTGATGGAAAATTAATCACAGATGTTTTCTGTGGACAAGATGACTCAGTGAGATGTACTTTGAAGTCTTGAGGCTAACTGAAAAAAAGGGTGATAATAAAAGAATGGAACATCTGTATTTGTACCTGGTGGTCCTCTTAGTTTGAAAAAGCATTCAAAGCTATGAAATATACCTCTACACAGCCCTCATCTAGCCATGAACCATATGAAATTTATAAAATAAAAAGTTAATTTTACAATGGTGATCACTGTTTGGTAGGATTTCTCAGAATACTCTGCTATAATCAGGCATTTTGCTACAGATGAAACATTTTAACAGGAGAGATAAAACAAGTGTGAACCAAATGCAAACTGTACCTTATACTATACATTTGCAAAATAGTATCAGCTTCCATTAGTTTTGCCATGTATTACCAGCAACCATTCTTTGTTAACTGACAGTAATCTTGCGTGTTGCTTTAGTAGTATATTCTTAAATCATTTCATTTTCATTTTCACATTTTATTCATAATACAAGAGTTTAAGCACCAAATTAGATTTATGGTTTGGGACATGAAAAAAAATAGAAATAAGAGGAAATGGGGGAAAATATGAATAATTTGGGTTTGGTTTGGGTTTTTTACTTGAGCCCACCTTTGCAACCATACAGCAGTGTGGATAAAACATTAGAATGAAAGGCTGCACACTTCCAATTTTTTTCCTCAGATGCCCACTAACTTTGCCTCTTTCTCTGATTCATCCTCCAGGGAGAACCTCAGCTGCCATCCTGCCCTTAACACAGACTGTGTCACAGATAGGGCTTCCATAAACTGTGTTGCCCTTCTGATGAAAGGGAGATGAAAATAAAATTCCCATAATTCAAGTTCTGAGCCTTGCAGCATACAGCTCTGTAGCTAAACATTTCAGCATTTCTTTCCTCCGTTGAGTATATATTATGAAAGAGATATACAAAATCACACACACACATATATATACACACAAGGGATAAACGCAGTACACACACACACACACATACACATACATATATATATGCATATATATATATATATATATATATATATATATATATATATATATACATACACACACACACACACACACACACACACACACACACACACACATATTCAATGTTATATATATATGCAAAACATAGCATTCCAGGCATTTTACAAGATGGTTCTGTCTTACTATAATCAGTGAGATAGATTTCAGTTCTTAAATTAATATGAAGAATTTAAAAATGAGAAAACAGTCTGAAGTTACACAGAATGTATCATTAGTAGGAAATAGTAGTGTCAATAAGGCTACAAACACAAACAGACAAAATAAATTAAAGTTTAACACAATGTCTAAGCAGAGGAGTTACCTATTCCTTACAGATAGCCAGAATCCTGAAGCAAAGTCCTCTGCTCCTTTGTCCCTGGATCTCCCACAGCCTTGGGAGACAATTCCAACTATTTATAAGGTTGTTGGAGAGATAGTACACAATAACATATTGTTTCATTCCTCTGAGTTCTGCACTGGTCTTCAAAGAGTCTGAATCTATGATAAACAAGGGTCAGCTAAATCAAGGTTGTGCTTGATTCCTGTGCATGTGCTTGTTCCATAGATTGAATTACCAGTAGAAATGTTGGTAAGTACCATTGCTTATAGCCAAGATGCCATCCTGCCAGTGCACCCATATAAATTGGTTAGTCCAGAGTTATAGTACAATCTGAGTTCTTCCTTGTGATATCTTATGTTCTTCTATTGGTATCTACTTTGCTATTATTGCATCAGACCCTAATAACCAAGAAATTCCTTGTGATTTTTACTTGATTCTGCAGAATTATATGATTAATTCTCACTTGCAGCTTCTTCATCGTGGGTCCATGGGTTTTGCAGATGGAACCAGTAAGTCACTCCTCCTGAATAAACTGAGTTACATTCCATTCAAATGGAATGATTTTTGCATCCAAGTCATAAAGTAGAGATCCTTTTACTCTATAACAGTAGAAGTGTAATGATACTAAAAATCAAAGAGTTTCATGAGTAAACATATGGAAAGAATCACCAGCAGAGAACTGATTCCTAAAGAAGCAGCTTTCTGAGATAAACTGTAAATTACTTGTCTTATATCTTTTTCTCTCTCTATGATTTCTTGGAAGACCTGTCATTTCCAGTACTTCTCATTAATTCCCCACCCACCCACAATTCATGGAAAATCTATCAGTACTGTTCAAATCATAGCCAACTTAGCATACCAGAGTTATAATCTGCATATTCAGTACAATAATTTATAACTAGATTGTAACGCAGAAAATTAATCTTTATATTTTTATCGTCCATATATCAAAGAGTTGTAACTGAGTAAACATCAGCCTTATTGAAAGAACAGCCCTATAAGGAAAACAAAAACAAAAACCTAGAAACAAAAAGACAGGACTAAAAATGCAAGAGATCAAATTTAGTAATGGTTATCGGCTTCCCCATATTTCATGCTATTGGTTTTTTATTAGGGTTACACGTGGACACAAATAACTCCTCACTGCTGCAATCTTTGGAGTTACTAACTCAAATTAAATTGAAGCAAAAGGTTTTGAAGGACAGAAGTTACTTTTGAAGTGAACCAACAATGGGGAATTTCCTTTAGTAAGAGGGACTTTTTTAAAAAACAAGAAGTTATATAGCCTTCAATGCCCTCTATGGCTGGTGCCACCAGAACATAATTGAAATAAGCAGAGCCCAATTTTTCATCTTTTGGTGAAGGAGACTGGGTAGATTTAATAGGCTTTTACTCCTCCGTGGGAAAAGCAGGTAGAATTGAAGGCTCTTTTGGGAACCCTTAACCTCCTCAAATCACTACAGTTTTAGCCATGCTCATTCTGGGAAAGTGGAGAGCCTCTAAGGATTGCAAAGTAGGATGGAACATATGAGTGGCTGTAGCGCCTACCACTGAACTAAGGAACTTTGTTTTCCTGACAACACCCTTTTCCCAATAATACCACTAGCATTAATACAATGGTTCTCCACACCTGTTGAAAGTTTAAGTACATAGTATATAATTATATGCTAATTCTAACCATATATTATATATATATATATATTTCCATTAAAATTACTCATAATAAATAGAACAAACACTAACCCCCACAAATGCAATTGAATGGATAATTCAAAACATATACTGCAAGCAATATATACCACATTATGAGACATCAGTTACACAGTCAACAGACAGGTGAAAGCAATAAGGATAGTGGAGAGGGAGGAGGAAGAGGAGGAGGAGGAGGGGGGGGGAGGAATTTTTAACACCGAATAATGCATTTTCTTTCTTATTGCCTCCATTGAAAAATGTTGAAAGGTCTCAATAAAGTTCATAATTCTGGTCTGTCAGTCATGTTACTTCTTAAAGAGAAATATTTTTACTTTTCAAGTATTTATGACAATAGAGAAGATAAATGAGCAATTAATAAACCAAATATGGTGGTAGAATCTCAGTCAGAATCATAACTAGCAATCACTGTATTACTAAGGTAGAATGCAATGAAAATTCTACAGCAGCCATCTTCATTTAGTGCCTGCTTGTTAGGTAGAGATCTCAAATGTCAATCTGCTGGCCATCTTCCCACTTGCTGTTTGTTTTTATGCAAATAGCATGGTTTAATGCAATTCTCACACCATCCATTTTTCCATAGGAGCATTTGTGTCCTACAACTTAAATCAATGATGAAAGGATGTCTGAGAAAATAACCCAAATGAGGTTTCAAGGATGTCTTCTCCATGAGGTTGCAAGAAGTCCCTCACTAACTCCCACAAACACCTACAAAGAAGAACAATACAGTAAAGGAAAGGCACAGTCGTGGGATTCAGCCAGTTCGCACCAGTTCAACAGAACCAGTAGCTAATTTTTTGTTGCTCAGGCCCAGAATGGATTTCCGGAAGCAGCAATTTCTTCCTTTCTTTAGACTAGCCAAATCCAAGTCCTGCAGCCATTCTTCATATGTTTTAGTCTCCAGGCCTTGGATCATCTTAGTTGCTCTTGAACTTTTTCCAAGGTCTCAACATCTTTTTTGTAATATGGTCACCAAAATTGGTTGCAGTATTCCAGGTGTGGTCTTACTAGGGTTTTATAAAGTGGTACTAATACTTCACGTGATCTTGTTACTATGCCTCTATTTATACAACCCAGGATCATATTAGCTTTTATAGTAGCTGCTGTACATTGCTGGCTCATAGTCAAGTGATCGTCCACTAGGATTCCAAGGTCCCTCTCAGAGTTACTGTTTTTGAGCCAGGTCTTGCCTAATGTGTACTGATATCTTTGATTTTTCCTGCCTAAATGTAAAACTTTGCTCTTCTCCACATTAAAACTCATTTTATTGGATAGGGCCCACTGTTCAAGTTTGTCAAGATGTTTTTGAATCCTGATCTTGTCTTCTGGGGTGTTGGCTATATATTGCAATATAGTCCATATTAAAAAATAAATATACTAAAGACACTTGAGGGGGGGGAAACCCATAAAACCAGTGAGGATTTCACAACTCAGAAGAAATGAGTCTTATATTGTGTCCTCCAGTCAGTGAAAATCGTAACAGAACTTAGGAAACTGTAGCTTTAGGGATGAAATAGATGCACTGTTAATATCTTCCCTGCTGATCATTAATGCCATTCAAAGACACTGAAGAACAGCCAGGGCAAACAGACAAGGCAGTTCTGACTACATAGAACAGGACTGTGACCCATAGTTCTGCTTCCAAGATGGATGTGGATTCTCCTTTCTCCCTGGCTTTCAGAGTCTCTCATCTGTTAGTATAGAGCAGTGATTCTTAACCTCAACAACTTTAAAATGTCTGGACTTCAACTCCTAGAATTCCTCTGCCAGCATGCTAGCTAGGGGATACTAGGAGTTTGAAGCTCACCGGTCTGAAAGTTGCTGAGAAATATGAATGAAGCTTCACAAATACTTCACAAGTTTCTGAAACAATCATCACAACATAAGGAGAACAAAATCTGAGAGCACTCTCATGTATAAGCTATCTTGTGCAAATATTCTCACCTCATCATATTATTTAAAACAATACAAACTTGCACTTTACTGAGAGCAAAACTATCTTAGGAGTTTAGTGCATTTTTTGAAAACTTTAATAAGGACAACTTTTTTAATTTTCTCAGGGCTAATTACTTTTAATTATTAGCAGGTTCTACAAGACTAAACTGGTGTTCTATTATTTCTAACTAAATGACGATTATTACTTTTAATAATTTTTGGACGGTGATATTTCTGAAGTTTTAAAATAACATTGCATATCTTTAAGAAACAAAGATGGGTTGGTTTGGGGTTTTTTCCCACTCCCATCATAATTATTTTCATTCTTCTTGCAAGAATGCAAGCTGACCCTGTCTTCTAAAGCTTCATCCTGCTTTTATAATATGTATGTCTCTTTTCATGGTACAATGGACAGTAGCATATGTTTTTCTTCACCCTGGAAAAATCCTTCCATTGACTGAGCAATAATAACTACTAATGGGAATTTGTCATTAATAATTATTCGTGTATTAATTAGTAATTACCAATGGGAATTAGTTCATGTTTAAAGCACTATTGGTGATGTATGATCACTCATCATCAGAGCTTCATGTCATTTATCAAAAACTGACACAGAACTACTGTTGAACAACTCATAAGACTGGAGATATTAACACCATATAAAAACTTTCAAAAAGATATTAGTACGCATGATTTTTTCATAACTGAGTTTAGTTTTCATAGCACTCTAAGTGGTGAGATCATTACACAGCCGGGCATAAAATGTATTGTAGAAAATAACCTGTGGTAAGTGTGTGTGTGTGTGTGTAAAAATAATTTTAAAAAATGTTTTGGAAGCAGTATTTTCATACGGAAAGGCCTTCATTCCATTTCTGATGGGCATAGGTTCTTGTTTAAGCAGAGATAAAGAAAATGCCCTCATGATGTACATGGAAATAGGGGTAGATGCCAAGGGTGGCCAACAAACTCAATACAATTTAAGCCCTATTTAGTTTCCATTAAAACCTTCAGACTTACCTCTGGTTTGCTTCATTAAACTTCTGCCTTTTTAGTGCTACTCTGATACTATGTTCAGCATCCTATCACACAAAACAATTCAAGATCGGATTATTACATTCTGCATTACAAAGCTATAAAACACATCATATTTATTATCTCAGGAGTCTTTAGTCATGCCCAACAAGTGCCATTCTTAGTGCCCTTCTGACTCTTTCAGCCTTCTTGCTACAGCCATTGGAAACAATATAATATATACTGTTAGTGCATAGCAGGCAGGTAGCACAAAGCAGACTTCTCCTACACTTGGGAAACCAATGATACTACAATGATTCTGAAAACAATAACTAGAGATTATGAACAGCTATGCAAGAAAATTAAAGAATTAGGAACACAAGTGGAGTTTTCATCTATACTTTCAACAAAAGGCCAACATCCAGTGAGGGACCAAAGGATTTTAGAAATGAACCACTGGCTTAAAAACTGGTATCGTCAACAGAACTTCAGCTTCCTAGACCGTGGTCTGCATTACCTATATGAAGGACTACTGGCAAGGGATGGACGGCACCTCACAAGAACTGGAAAGAATATATTCGGAAAATGATTGGCTCGTCTTATCAAAAGGGCTTTAAACTAAAATTGAGGGAGGAGGGGGCCCAATCTTCATGACTTTAGAACCTGATTCCAAGCAAAAACCATTAGATTAACCAATCATATAAAGAGGTAGAGAGCAAAGAGAAAGAAGAAATTTAAAAAAACCAAAATGAAGTAGAGAGTGATGGAAAAGATAGAAATCCCAGTTACAAAGTAGGAAATATAAGAAACATACCCAAGACCCATAAAGGACTCAGATACCTATACACTAATACTCAAAGTTTAGGGACGCCTATGATAATAACTTAAAAAGAGAATACACATATTCTTACCTATTTCTAAAAAAGTTAATTTCAAATTTTAATTCTAACATATTAATTTTTATAAACTCTTTTTATTTTTTGATGTTTTATTATACAGTACCCAGAGTCCTTCTTTGAGATAGATGGGTGGTTTAGAAAAGTGAAAAATAAATAAGTGTTGGTGACAGTCAGTATTTATTCTCAGAGTATTAAGAAAAAAAAAGCCAGTTTAGTTTTGTGGTTAAGGCACCAGGCTAGAAAGTGGCTGACTGTGAGTTCTAGTCCTGCCTTAGCCATGAAGCCAGATGGGTGATTTTGGGCCACTCCTTATCTGTCCAACTCATCTCACAGGCTTGTTGTTCTTGTAAGGTAAATAGGAGGAGGAAGGTCTGTTGGATAGTTCACTGCCTTGAGTTATTTGTAAAAACAATAAAGGCAGATAAAAATAAAAAAAAAAGTGTGGACTGAACCACTCTTTTTCCTTCACTGCATACCAATTTATTTCCACCATGTCAAAGCAAGTTTAGTAATGTGCAAAGAGAAAGTTTGGGAACAATTTATTTCAGAGGACTTGTCTCCAGATCTAATTCCTTCCCCCTCTCTGCCCCGTCATCTCATTCAAGCCAGTTTTGATCCTGTCTCACATTGTTCTGGAATCTAGGCTTGTTCAAAGTGGGCTCCATATTTCCTAAAAGAAGTAAGTAGCAAAGAAGGTATATGACAATCACAGTGTTCAGGATTCAAAGACTGATATTGTTGTGTGAGCATCCATGAAAAGGGTTACCAGATATCTAAGCAAGCAAAGAAGGATGCTGATAGCTAGAAAGGAGGACAAATGGGTGAAAGGGAGACATGACAACTGTTTAGCTTTCTTGACATCTACAACAAAATAAGAGTGAAAACTATGGGGGGGGGATATAGTACTTAGGCTTCATGTATATGTAAAACTGCTTTTCCCAACATTGGAAAGATTGGTTTTTCAGTCAAGTAGGTGCTAGAGCCAGTTAGAAGGGCCTTCAGCATGTAACTGATTAAGTTCTTGTCAGTTTCAGGTAGCAGACAAGCCTCCAGGAAAATACTAATCAACTAATTAAGGTAACAGGGCAGAGCTTGTTACCTTGTACTTAGCACTTACTAAGAAGCCCTGCACCAGGCAGATATGTTGTTCAAGAATAGCTTGAGAAATGCAAAAAAATCCAGATAATATTTATGCCTGCTGGATGAAGGACATAAGGAGATGTCCTCCTGTCACCCAGCACCTGGTAACCTTATCCATGAGCCTCCAAAATATAAAGAATGCTGCTGCTATGCTTCTCATTTTCAAGAAAGCCACCAGACTGCTGGAACCCGATGACATTCAGTCATGTCCAACTCTTGGTGATTCTATGAGGCCAGGTCACATCTTCCAATCTTGCCCTGCTTCTTGCAGCATTTCTATGCTCTGGCTGGTGTCAGACTTGATGGTGTCCAGCCACCATGTTCTTTGACAGACCGGTTTCCTTTATTGTGAACTCTTCCAAACATAATTGCCATCTCCAGTGAATTCCTGTAACCTAAAGCTAGAATCTAACAATCCCCAAAATGCATCAGAGTCTAAAATTGCCAGCACTTCCTCTGAATGAACTTAGGGTACTCTGGTGCCATCATCTTTGCATACTGTTTCCTTGGAATCAGAGCAGATTGTATTGTTACTGTCTGGAAAGATCTTCTGATGTCCATCTATAAATCAGGCCCCAATAGGTCATGCCTGTTTTTGCAAGAAGCACCAGTCTGTAAACTTACCCTTATTTGTATTTTTAGAAACTTGTTTGAAGCTTCGAGTTTGCTTGCTTCTGCCTGCAAAAGGACACAGGATTTCTAAATTATCTCACTATATCTTTTCATGAGTAAATAATTACCAATCTTTTATCAAATATAGTTTAATATTATATTGGAGTCTAAGAATAAAAATAACAATGCTGTTATCTTCAATAAGGGAGCACTTTGGTGTAGTGCTTAGGGCACCAGAAATTGGATGATGTATGTTCTAGTTTCGCCTTAGGCTCAAAACCAGCTTGTACTTAAAAAGGAAAAAAGTCATCTGAGTCTTTTTCCAAGGAGTTAGAGATTTTGTGAAGTTATCCACAATTCCCTAATCTAGATGCTTGTTTACAACAATCACCGTTGGACTTTTTGCTTAGCTATATCTAAAATGTCATTTCCAGGTGAGAGAAGTCTTTGTTTATCACATATAAATGCCTACCCATCTCATGATAAGTGACTCTGGGTAGCATACAATGATTAAATAAAATAACCAACACATTAAAAAATCATTAAAAATTTAAAAGTCATTATTAAAATATAAAAACCATAAGGGACAGAATATTAACCACAATAGTGGAGCCATCTTAAATTATCACCAATCCCCTGGGATCCCCAGGCCAGATGACCTAGCCCAGGATTGTCAAACTGCCAGCCTGCAGGCCGGATGCCTTATGTGGAAGCCATGCCCACCCCTTTGCCAGCAATGGCAAAATCATCCCGATACGTTGTGCGATGTCACATGATGTCGCAAATTTGACATGTCTAACCTAGCCTGTTCTTGGGGGACTTACAGACAGGGATGTACCTAACCTCACCTGAAGGAGATTTTATGGATTTTGTATTGATCTACAGGAGAAAATGCATTATGAAAAGATGATAATTGCCTGCTTGTGCCCAAGGATAATATAAATAATGATCTCCTCTTATAGTCATGTACACATATATACTCTCCAATATATCCACCTGGGGATCATAACATCACAGAGTTATATTTAGGCTAACAAATCCAAACTCTTACTCAATCCAGGAAATCAAAGCATCCCCCAAAGTCGGCTGGTCTTACAATAAAAATATAAAACAATACAATAATTAGTAAATCCAAATCTATTTTTTCAATTTAAATGTAAATACTAAAGCAATAAGCTAAACTTATATAATGCTATTCATTATAATTAAGTTCCAATTCTTGGAAGAGTTCAGATTTTCAATTATTAAATTAAAATTAATTATTTCTAAGACTGAGCTGTGGCTAGTTAAGAATGGAACCACACCTAATCATAACACCTAAGGAGGGGGAGAATAAGGAATGGTGAAATATGTGGACAGGCTTTTCTTGTAAACAGAAATTGTGGCTTATTGTTAGATTAAAAGAGACTATAACATGAGCGGTCCAACAGTGGCTGGATTCAGCCAGTTCGCACCACTTCGTCAGAACCGGTAGCTAATTTTTTGTTGCCCAGGCCCAGAATGGACTTCCAGAAGCGGCATCCACACAGAGAACTGGTTGTTCACATATTTGAATCCCACCACTGGGTCCTAGGTGCTCTCTGAGCCTTGCAGACATTCCATTAACCCAAACTAGGTTACATAGAGAACACCAAGGATCCTCATTTCAACCCTGAGCTACAAATAATCTCCTTTATCAGTGAAAGGTAGTTTCAAAGCCCTGAAGCATCTTATTGCTAATGATATCACCAACCTTAAACTTCATGCCTTACCTCTAATTCTTTCACAGTCTTTTGTTTAGTATTAATAATGCCACTGAAAGTCATCGTGTTTTTAATTTCTTTCTCAATTGCTTGGATTTCCTCCCATTTCATAATGATTTGGCACCTCAGAGATGTCAGCAGCTCAGCACTGGCTACAGAAGTTTCTTTTTCCACTGCTTTGTCACCCTCTTCCTTTTCTGCAAGTGCAAAGAGAGGACAAGAACTTTGACTCAAGAGTTTCTCTTGAGACATTACATCAGGGGTCTTCAAACTTGGCTCTTTTATGATTTATGGACTTCAACTCCCAAAATTCCTCAGCCAGACATGCTGGCTGAGGAATTCTGGAAGTTGAAGTCCACAAGTCATAAAAGGCCACATTTGAAGACCCCTGCATTACATGAAAGGACCTGTTGACAAGGGCAATCAATGTGATGCCCCCCTGGGGGAAGACAAGACAAGTCTCTCACTTGACCATTCTCCTGTTAGGTCTGCAAGGCATACAATATATACATATACCTATACAGTACCTATACATATACATATACATACATACATACATACATACATACATACAAACAAACCAAAAGTGTAGAAATCATCAAACTCCGGGATAGGTATAAAAACAACTGTTAATTGCTAAGCTTTTGTCGATTCCCTGCTGATGTCATCAGAGTGAAAGCCGGAGGTTGGAGAGTCTGCTTATAAAGCCAGCTGTTTCAGTGCTCTGCTACCCGCCTTTTGATATGAATACATCTGGGATTCGCATTTTTAAAGTAATTAGAGATACATACATACATACATACATACATACATACATACATACATACATACATTGTTGTTGTTAGTTGCAAAGACCCCATGGACAACGTTCCACCAGGTCTTCCTGTCCTCTACCATCTTCTGGAGTCCATTTAAGTTCATGCCTACTGCTTCAGTGACTCCATCCAGCCATCTCATTCTCTGTTGTCCCCTTCTTCTATTGCCCTCAATCTTTCCCAGCATTAGGCCCTTCTCCAGTGAGTCCTTCCTTCTCATTAGGTGGCCAAAGTATTTGAGTTTCAGCTTCAGGATCTGGCCTTCTAAAGAGCAGTCAGGGTTGATCTCCTCTAGGACATACATACATACATACATACATGTTGTTGTTGTTGTTAATTGCGAAGTCGTGTCCGACCCATCGCGACCCCATGGACAACATTCCTCCAGGTCTTCCTGTCCTCTACATCTTCTGGAGTCCATTTAAATTCACACCTACTGCTTCAGTGACTCCATCCAGCCATCTCATTCTCTGTCGTCCCCTTCTTCTATTGCCCTCAATCTTTCCCAGCATTAGGCTCTTCTCCAGTGAATCCTTCCTTCTCATTAGGTGGCCAAAGTACTTGAGTTTCAACTTCAGGATCTGGCCTTCTAAAGAGCAGTCGGGGTTGATCTCTTCTAGGACTGACCGGTTTGAACGCCTTGCAGTCTATACATACATACATACATACATACATACATACATACATACATATCAGCAGATTCTCATTCCATGCAATCTTATTACTTACTTGTTGCTGTTCTGCCTGTCTGGCTCACCCAAAGTTCAATTTCCAATTTGTTTCTAAGTCTAAAACAGAAAAGAAAAAAAAAAGGAGAGAGAAATCTCTTATTAAATCCAAACAAGTTGCATGGTTTTTCCATCCAGTGAAGAAGGTGAAGAGCTGACTGTAGGAAATGCCATTACTAAGTTTGCTAACGATGCAAGAATTGGCTCCGTTTTGCACACAGTTACTCTCTCCTTGTGTTTTTTTTTTTTTTGGTGGCCAAAAGGTTTTCCTTCTGAACAAAGAAATAGACTTGAAGTATATGTCCCTGTAATATGTCCTCAATCCATAGATTAGGTCCAGAGGCATTCTTAGAAAATAAATACATAGAAATGTAGCAGCCACACACCAAATTTTAAAAGAATTAAGGTAATATATACTTTAAAATACCGAGTACATCAGGGAGCCTGATAGACAAGAAACGATGGACACATGGATAGATTAGTATCCATGGCAGCATGCTGGGAAGCACATGTTTATGTCATGATACCCTTGGCTGTGTGGCAAATGTTGTATGTAAGGTATAATTTGCAAGGAAGGAAGGAAGGAAGGAAGGAAGGACGGAAGGAAGGAAGGAAGGAAGGAAGGAAGGAAGGAAGGAAGGAGGAGGGAGGGAGGAAAAGGAAGGAAGGAAGGAAGGAAGGAAGAAGGAAGGAAGGAAGGAAGGAAGGAAGGAAGGAAGGAAGGAAGGAGGGAGGGAGGGAGGGAGGGAGGGAGGGAGGGAAGGAAGGAAGGAAGGAAGGAAGGAAGGAAGGAAGGAAGGAAGGAAGGAAGGAAGGAAGGAAGAGCATACAGTCCATGTCTTCAAAAAACGAAATACAAATGTCAATGACAAATGATGATTATCTGCTTACAAAAAGGTCTGTATGCGCTTTAAGCATAAGTTGGTTCAAATATACATATGGCAAGGGAATGAATATAAATCTAAAAGCATGACTTAATTGTTTAATATAAAAGACTAAATGAGGTGATAAGAGGTTCTGAATGAAGGGCAGAACTTTTTTGATGGGAGGTTGTTTTTTAATATATAGAATCCAAAGTAGATCTTGGAAAATGAATGATGTGGGAAAAGATGCTGCACTGGACATACAAAAGAGATCAGCTGACATCTCAATAATTAAAAGTGATATACAAATAACAAACCAAGAGAGTGGTCTGGATAATTGTCCAATATTAGGTTTACAAAAGAAGCCTATTAAAGCTCTTATTAATTTTGTAAGAAGGGACAAAGGAAAAAATGAAAAGAAATCAAGTTCTAAGGCAGAGGTCCCCAACCTTTTGGGCATCAGGGACCAGTTCCATGGAGAAAGGTTTTTCTGTGGACTGGAGGGTGCGTGGTTTTGTGTACTGCCTGCATCCCACGGAGAGGGCTTTATTTGTGTAAACCGGTTGCTGGCATGCTGCAGCCTGGTCCATGGACTGGGGGTTGGGGACACCTGTTTTAGGGCATTATTTGAAAGGATCAAGATTGGTAAAATTAAAGGAAGGAATATAAAATTGGTTCATTTGATTAAGGGTAAAATAAATATATTGTTATCTCTTCTAATCCTTAATAGACTTTTGCTGACCAGGGCTGAACAATGAAGCTTTAAGGATTTGTTTAGATAAGAGATAGGATATGGGAAGAAGAGATAATTTGTAGTATTTTTTTGAAAAAAGTGATAAGTTACTAATACTGTTTACTTGTTGCAAGAAAGGGGTAAGTTACTTCTTTATATACTTCTTTTCTTTTTCTTTATTATATTCTTATGTGTTTTCTCTTTCTTTTTCTCCTTTTTTTCTACATCTTCAATTTTTTATTGTGTTATTTTTAGTTTGTGTTCACTTTTTATCATTGTAAATGTACCATTCCATAGTGCTTTACAATACTCTCTGAGCAGTTTACACATGTCAACACATTGCTCCCAACCATCTGGATCCTCATTTACCGACCTCATCCTACTGACCTTGGAAGAATGGAAGGCTGAGTCAGCATTGAACTCCAGGCTGTGGGCAGGATTAGGTTGCAATACTGCATTCTAACCACTGTGCAACCAGGGCTCCTACGGCAAACTACAAATCTGCTCATGGGCTATTTAAATCCCATTGAATTTGATATAGTTTAAGAAGCAAAAGTGTCTCATGCATTTCATAACTGGAAACTGATAAAGTTTATTTATTTCTAAAAAGATTGTTATAAGTGAGTAAGTGGTAGCCAATCGCTCAGAACAACAAATTAGGCACATTTTCTTGGCTATAAAAATAATATTGTGAAATATGTGAAGATCTTTCAAATACCTGGCTGCTCATTTTCCAGATGTCATATAAATATTGCACATTTACATAACTCACTCTTCATTTCTTGCTAAAGCCAATTTGCTTTTCTGCACAAGGTCCTGTATTGTCTGTCTGCTCTCTTCTATTTCATGAGTCATCACCATTCTTTTTTTCAGGCCTTTGACTTGCTCTTGCAAGGTCTGTTTTGTTACCAAAAAAAAATGAAACTAAGTGAAATATTTAAATCATAAAGAAAGGTAATATCTGTAGCAAAGCCAACATGCATTTTTTCGTAATTGGACATCTTGCAAATCTGTCTTTCCTACCAAGAATTAAATTTAGTTTACAATCAAGTTAGGGAATCTATAGATTAACCCTATAGATAATGCTAATGTCCAGTCCTTAGTTACAGCCTGTAAAGTCAATATGGAAGAATCCTGGGATTTGCCATTCAAGACATCTTGATTACTACTTCCCCAACACCATAGTACAACTTTCTTTTCCTTTTGATGGAAGAATATAAATCAATAGTATTAAGCACAATGCTTATATAAAGCTATCATAACAAAAACATATTCTATGATATGCCAGTTATCACACTTCCCCTAACACTTAGACAAAAGTTCTAATCACTTGTCATGGAAAACAATAATATTTTTATATTATATTTATATTATATTTTCTCATAGATAGAATAAGTTCTCATTTGTTGCACATCATTTGAGTGCTGAATATACTTCACTACTAAATGAATGAGCACCACTGGAAAACATAATGTCTGCAATGATGTGTGATGATTTGAAAGGACTATGAAGTCTCAACAAAGAAGCGTTGAAAGTGCTTTTCTTAACAGAAGTTGTACAAGGTGTACAAGAGCCTGGAAGAAAGTTAGTTTAACACCAGTGATTATTTATGGTGACAAATACACTAGCTGTGCTGTGTCTCTGTGTGTGTGCGTGTGTGTGGGAGAGAGAGAGAGAGAGAGAGAGAGAGAGAGAGAGAGAGAGAGAGAGAGAGAGAAGGGAGAGAGAGAGAGAGAATGAAAAAAAGTTCCTGAACGTTTTTCAAGATTAGTTACAAACAAGCAGAACATCTTGAAATACAATGCAGCAAGATATAGACTAAATTGGAAGATGAAATAGATGAAAGGACTGTTCTTGGAGGAATGTTTTCAGTGGTTCTCCACTTTGTAAATATCCAGGAAAAGTCCAACAATTAGCATGTTGTGTTATATTTGCATAAAGATGTCCCTCTGCGTGTCATTCTAAAGAGAGCAGTTCCAAAATCTGATTTCCTCACTAATATAACCTAAATTTGTGCAAACTGTTCAGTCTCTTCGGTTGGACACTGTAAGACAAGTGTACTAGTAAGTAGAATCTATTAGATGTGAAAAGAAATCCCAGATTAAAGATGAAAATCAAATAAGAAATATTTGGGTGATATGGGACATCTAGAACATGATTTATCACAATAAGTCACCTATTACATACCACCATGAAAAAATAAAAACTAATCCTTTTACAAAAAAAGAGTTCTGGCAGTAAGCGTTAATTTACATCAAAAGAAAATATTATTACTCTGTATTGTGTTGCAGGCAAAGAATCCAGCAGGATCACCATGTAAAGCTCATATTCATTCTGTAGAAAACAGCCAAAAAAGATCAGTAGGAAAGAGTTTGCCAGACAATTAAACAAAATCCAAGTTTAGTGCAAGACACACTAAAATCAAACCGTGATTAAATTATCACAATTCTAAAATACATTTGCCCACTGAATTACTTAAATATTGTACATTTCTGCCTTTATATTAACTGATGATAAATTAATTGGTTGGAGTTTGATGCATGTTTTACAGAAATAACTGCTACTGTATAAACTCCTTTAAATATTTACAGGATTTTTGCTTCATTTTTGTGGTAATTTGTGTATTATCAAGCAAAATGGTTTGTCAGAAACTGCTGAAATTATGGTACTATTTAAGCATGAAACTTTTAAGCATAGTCACAGGTTCCTTTCAAACTGCAATAAAATGCCAAAATCTGTATGAGCAAATTACATTCCAATAGTATTTTGAAATACCTACGATGGAAATACATAGATTCACCCCTCTTCCACCATCTGTTTAATGCATTGAAGGTTAATTCCAGATCAAACCCTAAACATATCAAGAAGCTATGAAGATTTTCTCCTTTCTACTTCTTTTCTTCACATTGAAGGGCATCTAATTTCACTCCTGACATTGCAGGACTTTCTCTTCTCTTCTCTTCTCTTCTCTTCTCTTCTCTTCTCTTCTCTTCTCTTTTCTTCTCTTCTCTGTCTCTATCATCTCTCTCTCTCTATCATCTTTCTCATCTTTCTCTCTATCTCTATCTCTTCCTGCCTTTATTATTTGTATAAAGAAAGCAAAGAACATACCTAATACTCCTTCATTCTCCTCTTTTACCCATAACAACTGCGTTAGGTGAGTTGGGCTGAGAAAGATTGACACACCCAAAGTTACCTAAATGGCTTTCATGCCTAAGGCAAAACCAGAATTCACAGTATTCTGGTTTCTCACCTGGTGCCTTAACCACTAGACTAGGCATGTCAAACTGCTAACCTGCGGGCCACATGCATCACGCTGAAACTGCACCCACCCCATTGCCGGCAATGGGGGAAAAGTCACAATACGTCACGCGATGTCATGTGACATCGCAAGTTTGACATGCCTTCACTAGATCCAATTAGGCCTTTTATAGAACATTTATATTTATAGAAATTTTATAGAATATTGTTTTATAGAACATAACCTTTTATTAATCTTTGCATCGAGTTGGTTGAGTTACCTAAGACACTTTAAATACTAGGCACAACACTTACTTTCACTTCCTTCAATATGTCACCAAATATCAAGGAACTATTACAGATATCTTCAAACACTTGACCAATAGCCTGTAATCGGTAGAAATGTGGACCTCTGCAATCACAGATATTCTGGAGTGCCTGAAAGACAATCAATTTACAAGGTTACTTTAGTTATCTTGGCTTGATTTCTACATGCAGGCTATGAAGCAAGTAAAAAAATTATTATGATCAATATATATAAAATTTCTTCTTCGGAGGCAATTTCACTCCTCACGACTTCCCAGATACATCCACAATGTTTTCTTGGCAACAGCTCAGAACAGTTTGTCTTTGCCTTCAGATTGTGGTGCATTTTGTTTTGTTTGACTGCACAGTCTAGAAACTGGGTGACTTTCTGGGTGTGGCCCCTAAATGGTATTAAGATATATCTATTTGACCTCATAGAAACTGTCTTGGGAAATCCCACAAGATTCCAATTTTCTACTTTTTTTTTTAATTTATAGGGAGTCTCTGGGAAGGATCCTACCTGGATTTGAAGTCACTTTCTAACTTTTCTTATCCTTCCTGGAAGCTCAAAGCTGAAGATTGCAAGAGCCTTTCCCTAAATGCACGTTGTAAAATGTGGCACACATGGGAGACTGGTTTGACTTCCAAGATCTGGAACCTCCTGGCAACACACTCACCAAATGCAATTAATTTGGGTGGGAAGATCATTTAAGGCCAGCAAGGATATGTGCTTGTTTTAATCCCTTTTTAGTAATTAAACACACACACAAACAAAGAACAATTTGCATCTATGTTTGAACATAGATATCATTTGTCTTTAATATGAGTCCATTTCTAAAATCTTTAACAGAAAACACTGAAGACCAATAAGAATGATTTTGAGCCGTCAACACTACTAATGCTGAAAGTTACAGTTCATGCATCTGGACTGAACCAGCATAGAATTAAACTACATAAAATGTGGTTTATCTGTAACTTTTCTCATATCAGTGCCCAAACATTATAATTCTATTGGACCCATTGACTTACCTGGGCCAACTTTTTTTCATGGCGCTCTGTTGACTTGCTCCCAATGAAATCATTCTCCAGCAAATCCTGCTTGGCAATGTACTCCTTCTGAACTTGCATGAACTTGTTATATTGGTCCTTTTTAGTCACACCAGCCAAATAGGAAGGTAAGAACCGGTATTCGTCTTTAAACTCCTTTGTGACGCAAAGCCTGCTATTCTTGAGTCGTCTGAATTTCAACAATTTCATTTCTGGAATGTCCAGCTCTTCTCGTATAAGCTGCTTTTGAAATGTGCTGGCTTCATCTTGTGGTTTCTCAGGAGCCTCCTTCTTTTGTAGCTTGAAAGCAGTGGTACCAAGTGACACACTTACTGGTGTTCTAAAGCTGGCCGGGTGGACTGGGGACGGATAACCCAATGGGGAAGCAGATTTGGCACAGACAGGCACCGGAGGAACATCCTTGCTACTGCTGCCCTTTTCCAGCATTTCATGGGATCCCTCAAGGGCATCCTCCTTGGCAGACCGTAAAGTGGTTCTTTTGGCACTCTCCCAATAGTTGTATTTTGTAGATTTAGGGGGCTTGAAGAGTTTATTATGGTTTAGATGGCCTGACACATAGAGACGGATCTCAGATTTGTGAGCCTTTTCCACTTCATCTAAAAGCTCTGTCAGTTGGGATTTTTGCTTCCTTTCCGCCATATGAAATGTTAGTCCCTGTAGGCACAAAGAAAATCATCAGCAAGCCCCAAAAGGAAAAACACATCTCAACATCTTTCATTTCCCCCCAGACTATTTGACTGAAATGTGCATCACGTACTTTACCTCGATAGATAAAGTATGTGATGCACATACATTACCTATCAAGGCTATTTGTCTCTGTAGGGCAATCTGTGCATGGGGATCAATAGATGTAGCCTCTTCCCTGGTCTGCAAAATGCTAACTTTTATTTCCCAAGCATTATTTCATTTCCAGCAGAGGGCTTTGTCAAACTTACTAATCCATTTTACATCACAATGCAATGGAGAAGAGAAGGCTAAATGCAAACGGTAAGGCAGATTTTATGAACACAAACAACATGTGCCGAAATTTACTTTGCATAGGCTCTGGGAACAGTTTTCAGTGAACTTTGGCTAAAGCAAAGTTGCACATTTTTCTTTCACTGTTACCATTTGTGCAACTATGTGTGATGATTGTATTTTGAGAATTGTGTAAGCCCTTAGCATTCCAGTCCCCCCTGAGACATGAAGCTACTTGGGTGACCTTGGGCCAATCACCCTCTCTCAGCCCGTGGAAGGAAGCAAAGGCAAACCATTTCTGAAATCTTGCCAAGAAAACTGCATGGACTTGACCAGAAAGCCACCAGAAATCAACAGTGACTCAAAAAACAATAACAATTACAATTAGAAAAGAACTATTGAGCTAGGTTTTTTTTTAGAGAACCTATAGATCTATCTTCCCAAATGCATCTTAAGAAAATGGAGCAAGATTATTTTCCACTCCAAAAAGATCATTTGAAGAACAAAAAGCAGATGGATGTACAGTAAATCCGTCAGCTTTTCAGAGCCAATTTAAAACAATTTAACATGCAATTTTTCCAACTAATTTTCCTTGGAAGGGAGTTTTGGATAAAATAAAGGAAATTATTAAACTATTAAAATGTTCCCTGTGGAAAATAGATTATACTTTAGGAACAAAGGCAGGCTAAATCCTAACCATTTACTATAGTTTCCAGTATCAGAGTGAGAAAAGTCACCATAGATTATTAGCACAGGTTAAATAGTCTCTCCCTAGTCCAGTAATTCTCAAACTTTTTAATGCCGCGATCCCCAACCGGTCGTAAGTCAAGGACTACTCAACCGGTCGTAAGTCGAGGACTACTCAACTGGTGCAGCACCATTTGCAGAATGGGACTTTTGGTGGGCTCAGCAGGGCAGAGACAGCCTGGACAATTCCTATTGGCTTTGAAAGCCAATAGAATTAGACTCTATTCAAGAGAGTCTATTCTATTGGCTTTCAAAAGCCAATAGAATAAAAGGGAGTAGCACAGCTAAGGAAAAGGGGAAAAAATGGTAGACTGCATTGTTTGGCAACCCCCGTGAAATGGTTGTTCAACCCCAAATAGGGTCCCGACCCATAGGTTGAGAACCACTGCCCTAGTCTATGAAAAGGGCTATAAATGTGAAGGCACTCTCAACAATTGATAACCTTCCATTCCTTATGTCCATAATAGTTTAAGGGATACAAAAGAAATGCAACTCTTAGCAAACATAATATTTTATTTTCATGTTGCACCCTTCAGGACAGAGAATGGAAATCATTTTGAGACTGCAGATTTGGTCTCAAGAGTTTGGTGGGTAGGAACAAAGTGACAAAGCAATCTTATCAGAGGGTGTGTAGCTAAACTTTTCCACCCTCTTTTAATTGGGTTGGGTAATTTCCAGTGAAAGTTTATTAGAACTAGGGGTTCTTCTAAAAGAGGTGTGACTCCATCCCAGTAGTACTCTCTTACCCCATTTTCCCATACTCTGACTGGACATGTATGATTTCACATGTCCAAATCTCTTAGGAGATGGGTCTTATTGGGTATGTCTAGTTTGATGAAAAGAAAGACTAGGGGTGACAGCAGTGTTGCAATACCTGTTCTGTCCCAGCCTACGTGAGTCCTTGTTAAGCTCACAAGGAGAAATCCATCTTCCAACAAGTAGGCTGGAACCGCAGGAAAAAAACTATCCCCTTTTATTATTCACAGACCTGAGTCAATGTCCAAGGCAAACAAACACATTTCACAGAAACTCAATCCTCAACATGAACGGTTGCCTTTGGCAACCAGCACCTCCCACACCTTCCCTTTTATTATGCAGCCAAGGCGTGGCTTCCTAATGTCTTCTCCTTTGCCTTTGGAGCCACCCCATTCCATTCCTCTGTCCTACTCTCTTTTCTTGCCAGCGTTTATGTGCATCCTGGATATCTTCCAGCTGTGATTCATCAATGTCCAACTCAGACTCCGAGCACAGCTGTGTCTCAGCCTGAGCACGCATAGAGGGGCCAGGTTCCTTGTCAGACTGTAAGTCTTGAAGCTCCTCAGAGCCTTCCTCTGACTCTGATGTCACTCCAGGCCCCTCCTCCTTCTCTGATTCCTCAGACTCAGCTGCCAGGTCCAAGGAATCACAACAATGTCTAAGGGGCTGCTGCAAAGAAGAGGGGGTCAACCTATTTTCCAAAATGCCTGAAAGCAGGAAAAGAAGAAATGGATGGAAACTAATCAAGGAGGGAACCAACCTAGAACTGAGGAGAAATTTCTGACAATTAGGACAATTAATCAGTGAAATAACCTGCCTCCAGAACTTCTGGGTACTCCAACACTGGAGATTTTTAAGAAGAGATGGGACAACCATTTGTATGAAATGGTATAGGTCTTTCTACTTGAGCAGGGGATTGGATTAGAGAAACTTTAAGGTCCCTTTCAAGTCTGTTATCCTGTGATTCAGTTTTCTTGTCCTTTCATCATGCAGTTATATAGGGGGAAGAAGTTATTTCACTTCAATGACACAGAGCTGCTGTCAAGGTATGAAACATTTTTAAACACTGTAGTTGAAAAACAAATCCTTTTACCACTGAATTGGAGAGGACAGCTCTTGGAGGCAAAATAGGACATAAATTGCCCATTCTCATCTTAAAAAGAATAGTAATACCAGTAGAGCTGGTAGGAGCAGATTATGCAGTGGTAAAGAGTCAAGTATAGTTGAAAATTATTTTAGAGTTCCCCTGAGGTAAGATCAGTGACAAATTTTATGAATAAAAATAATAATTACAAATAATAATAAAATTATATACAAATTCAAATGTTCATTTGAGGAGATATACAGTAATTATATCCTTGGAAAATGTTCTCCATTCATGGCAGGCATTTTAAGCTTCCTTCTTACAAAAAATTAACATGAATTTAATTTTTAAAAACTAACAACCCACTGCCACTACCAACACCATTTTTCTATTGCATGAGTCTTCTATAAGCTAATCAAGTTCACTTTATCAGCATGAATAATCTTTGCTGTTTGGGGGATGGGTCTCTAAATGTTGTGTTTTTTAAAATTAATTAACTGACTTAATTTTATGTTTGTATTTTGCAAAAGGTAATGTAGCTTCTACTTCCTCCTGGCCATGCCATATACAGGCCCTCAGCAAGTTGGAAAATACATGTTCTATATCTTCATTATACATTACCCTTGTCCAATGACCAATGCCATTTTGTTGGTATTTAATCTGGCATGTGGCTTACTGCACTTGTAAACTTTCAACTAGATTCAGACGGCATCAAAATTGAATGGATGAATGAATGAATGAATGAATGAATGAATGAATGAATGAATAAATAAATATCTCTAAGCACCAGATATAACAAAGATACAGGTAGTCCTTAATTTACAACCATTCATTTAATGAACACATTTACAATGGCACTGAAAAAATTAACTTATGACTGGTTTTCACATTTACAACTGTTGCAGCATCCCCCATAGGCACCAGGCAACTGGCCATGTATTTATGACAACAGAACTGTCCTGCATCATGTGATCAAAGAGATGGTTTGCATCCATCAAAAAAAGGGACTGAGTTACTCGGCTATAAATTCACAGATTTTCTGGAGGGAAATTTAAACTAAACAGCGGGGACAGGGAGTTAATTGATACGGAACAACCCTGTCCCCGGCAATTTAAAAACTATAGGGCTATCAGTGCATGTAGCATAGATGTGTGTGTGGACAAGAATACCAACCTTGCTACCAATCAAAATGAATCCTCTAATAGCGAGTGCCACATAAAGTGCACTAACCAAATAGGTGGTAAGACAATAGGGGAACTCAGGCACCACACAGGTTATGTAGAAAGGAAACACAGGGACACCCACAAAGGACTCAAATGTTTATACACCAATGCACAGAGTATGAACAGCAAACAGGGTGAACTAGAAATTCAGGTTAACGAGGGCAGATACGATATTGTTGCCATTACGGAAACATGGTGGGATAAAACTCACACATGGAACACACAGCTAGAGGGATTTAAATTATTTAAAAGAAACAGACCAAATAAAAGAGGAGGTGGAGTTGCTCTCTATATAAGAAATAACTACATCTTCACAGAAATAGAGTACAACAATGATAAAAACTGTCTTGAATGCATTTGGGTCAATATAAAAGGGGGGGGGAATGACAGTGCCATAGGTGTATACTACAGACCACCCAACCAAACAGAGGAAATAGATGAACTTTTTGCTAGTCAGCTAACTAAGGTATGTAGGAAGCACATCACAATAGTAATGGGGGACTTTAACTACCCTGACATCAACTGGGATACAAACTCCGCACCAAGTGGAAGATCAAACAGGTTCCTGGCAAACCTAGCAGACAACTTTGTCTCCCAAAAAGTAGAGAAGGGAACTAGGGGATTAGCCATCTTGGATCTAATTCTCACTAACAGAGATGAAATGATAGACGGTGTTGAAGCCATAGGAACCCTGGGAGGAAGTGTTCATGCAATATTAGAATTCAACATTATAGAAGCACAACCAATAGAACACAGTCAAACTAGAGTCTTGGACTTCAAGAGAGCTAATTTCAATAAACTTAGAGAGGGCTTGGGAAGGATTCCATGGATGAGAATCCTCAAGGGAAAAACAACTCAAGAAGCTTGGGAAATTTTGAAAAATGAGA